AAGATGTGAAAAAAAGGCTTTTGTGTAACCAAAAACAGTGTAAGGCCATCCACTGACCAACCTGTCCAAGTGATAAGATAACCATGACACAAACCAGAGCGCCGGAGGACAATTAGAGAAGACCATGTTAAAATTAAGGAGGACATACTAAAGTCTTATCAGAGGATGTGAAACAGCAGGATGGAGACACAAGAAGAAATAAAATATATTGACCTGACACCCAGCATGTCATGCAGATAAGCCGGAGTATGAAGAAGTCAAACAAAGGAGTTGCCAAAACACCAGAAAGTTCAAAAGAACGTTTGAAAAATGCATTAAACACAAGAATATGCATGTATCTTATCGATAAAGATAACATTGTCTGTATGTCGTCCCCCCCCTCCTCCCCAGCACTGGAAATATTGTCCTTTTTTTATCCTATTACTATTACTATCATTGTTATTATTATCATAAAACTTTTAAAAACTCTAAGCAATGATTTCTGTTTTTCACATTCCTTTGTAAGCAATTTTATATTTACAGAAATTATTTATACAGGAAGCTTATGCATTTTAGCAACACAGAAGTGAATTTGTGCCTTTCTGTGAGGTTCGTGTCCTCTAGAGTCAGTGGAAAAACCCCCTTTATGACCTCTCTGAAGCATTTTTCTTTTATTTAAGATCTATTCATGGAGTAATCTCTGTTTTGTGTGCAGGCCCTCCTCAGCCCACACCCTTTTCAGTAGGATTCCTTCCTATCTTCCAGCAGCACCCACTCGTCCCTGACCTTGCTGGAGCTGTCCCAGCCAGCCAGGAACCACGTCCCGTTATCTGTGCGGCCGCAGCCCTGGGGCTCAGGGCCCGTCCCACGCGTTCCCATGGCACCTGGTCAATGCTGTGACCCTCCCAAAGCTCCCACTCAGAGCAGGTCCTGCCAAGGATGTGCCTCACACCCACCAGGCCAGAGGAGTGGGAAGGGGGGAGGCTGAGTGAGCCCACACAAGCGATATCTCAGCAGAACACCGGGGGAATGACACTGATAATGCCACAGTGGTTCGCGCTGGGAAACAGCCTTTCATCAACCAACACTTTGGGCTCTCCACACCGAGCTGACAGCGGTTCTGGGATACCTGAAACATGAGAGAGAGCTCCAGAAACACTGTGTGCCTCAGGGCACGTGGACCATGGCTGCAGGAACTGAACTGCTGCTGGCCACACCAATTCAGTCAGAACCCTTTGCCTAAAGGATTAACTTTCACCAAAGCTGTACGCACAAAAAGGCCAGCCTTTCTCCTTTGTACGTAGGTGCACCTGAGGAGGATGTGGATGTGAGCCACACACAGTCTGCTCACTGTTCTTTGAACGCTTCTCCAGCAGACAGATCCTGTTTAGAGAGTCAGTGCTTGTGTGCTTTGCTTTTTTTAATCTGAGCTTTTTGGTCTGAGACAACTCAGCAGCTGCCAGCTGAGCTTCCCACTATGGCCTCCACTCCACAGGCTGAACTTTGGGATCTGGAGTTACTCTTTTGCAACACAGTCATCTCCTATCCTATCCTATCCTATCCTATCCTATCCTATCCTATCCTATCCTATCCTACCCCATCCCACCCTACCCCTGTTCTTAGATTTAGCCAAAGCGTTCTCCACCTGCCTGAGCATGCATTATACATTCCCTTTAAGAGACATTTTACTCGCAGGTAGCCAAACCACAAAGAAATATAATATATTTGGTCAATATAATTAGACTTCATGTAAGATGAACAAGAAATATCTCCAAACCAAGCCACCAATAACCAGAGAACTTGTCTTGATGATGAACAGAAATGGTTATATATTACATAGATCCAACCACAAAGCTTGCTGGTATGAACAGCAGGATGTAAGAAATATTGATTAAAGGAACAGAAAGCAGCATAAGTAGAACAGAAACAATAAAAATCAAAAAAAAAAAAGGCAGAAAGGAATCTCTACTAACCACAGAATCCCAACACTGACCAACTACAGCACCATATGTATAACAAAAAACCTGTCACCTGTGAAATCTGAGTGTCCTGCTTAAATGCTGCTATGCTCCAAGGTTAATGCTAATTCCCTTGCCCTTCTCCTTGGAATGTCCCTCAAATATGTCTTAGCTTTCCTACAGAACTTTGCATATGTTTCATTTAGCTTCTCTAAGAAGTCAACAGGTATAATTGCATCCAATCCCCACTCTCACCCTGTCAACTGTTTTTTATCTGGGAACATATATATTTTTTTACTCCTCATGCAGGGCAGCTCTCAACAGAGATCTTTTGAAGTTTAACATTTTTCTTCTTCCAAAGTAAAACAAAACATAAGACTTTTCAGTTATACAATTAACACAGACATTACGCACCAATTTGTATTTCTGAAATGAGGTATTATATGCCCTATATGGAAATACATACAATATACTTATGATCTGGAACATATAACTTCATCTTTCCAGAAAGGTTGCCATGAATGTTTTGCTATGTTTAAATGCTTTTGTTTGTTTTAAATGATCTCTGTTTAAACTTTCCCTTTAATAGAAATCAAAGATTTCAAAAGTTTTTGGCTAAAGGTTTCATCAGCACTGACATTGTGAATCTTTTAAGCTCAGTGCATCTGTAAGTACTAATGGAATCAAGTTCCACGTGAAATTTCTGATCCGCTATTCCTGGTCTATACAAGCTTCCCAACTTGGAACACCATAAAAACATTTTCCAAACGTGTTGTGATCGTGGTTGCATTCTTAAACTGTTACCTTGTAAAAGTTACAACCTCCAAGAGAACAGAAACCAGAATTCCAGATTCATTGTAACTTTGTGAACTCCACTCAACCACAGGGCTATAGTGAGGATTTATACAGCAGTCAGCCTACTACAGAGTGAAACATGTGATGGGGTAGTAATGAGAACCCACATGTGCACAATTTGCAATGATCCATTTCCTACTTGTTTCTCCCCCTCACAGGAGTTCTGCCTGGTTCAGTTCTGTCTCAAATACAAACAATAACTATAACCACATCATTCTTTTCCAAGTCCGTCGAGATACCACAACCAAATGGAACACCTCGAGCAGCATTCTTGTCAAAGAGTGCACAGTGTCAGAAACCAAACTGCAGAAACGCTGAATTATCTAAACCAGTTATCACGCTATCTATTGGATTAACAAGGTCTAGGTAAGAAAAACATCAGTGAAGTTGTGGCTGTTCAAAAAGCAAATGTCTGGAAAATATGCCCTTGCCAAAAATTCTGTGATACATTGTGGTTCTTCAGCTGCCAATATTCAAGGCTTTTTGACAACATTTTGATTACTGCAGTACCCACTGTAAACAGCCCCACGCTGTAAAAACACCTCAGCCATAATTCATCAGCTAAACAGAATAATAAATGACTGACTCTGCACATGTCAAACAAACACCTTAATATAGAGTAATTAAAATAAGCAATCACAGCACAACTCTTAACACTGATCTGTCTTAATCTATTTTTAACATCTGTCAAGCATCTGACCCTGTCAGACTGAGCAATTCCTGAAGCCTGGGAATCGTCTGTTACTAACAAGTGACCAGACCTTTTTCTCAAGAATGGAGGAACTTTTTATCTAAGGAGTATTAGACTGTGCAATAAATATTTAGAATTCATAAATGTGTTTTTCAGGATACCTAGTATCACTTACACAGTCTTTAGAGAAGGAAGCTTGCTTTCGTACAATTTTTGCAATTTTGTCTTAAGGAGACTTGGTGGAAATAGTAGCAGAGTGTAGTTTCAGAAACAGTGAGCAGAATTATAAATGCAACATGTTTAGAAAAACCTAAATCTATCAGGATAAACAAAAATGGCTCTTCTTTAGCAGAAGGAAATAACAAATCCCATTTCCTGGTCAATAGCAGTATAAATCACTATATCCATGTAGCGCATTGATAATAAAACTAACTTGCTTTTCTTCCTTTATTAGTCTTTTATGATACACATTCTACTTGCCCACAGGAGAAAAAAGCAGACAAATCATTTTCAAAGTCAAACACCCGGACGCCTCACTTACCCTCAAGCTCTTCGTGGATGTTCTGGGATAGGCTGGTCCTGGGCTGGGCCTCCCTGCTGGAGACAAAGGAGGCTGAATTTGCGCGTGTTGTTTGGAGCTGCAAGCCAGCCCGACGGCTTCGCTGGTGTTTTGGAGTGTGACCTCAGGATAGGGAGTCTGATCACTGAACAGTTTGACTTTTAAGAGAGACGATTTCATTACATGCAGCAGATGGCCCTTCCTGGGAAAACCTCTGCCAGACAGGGAGTTGGCAGTGAGAAGAGGGCACATCCTACTTCCATAGAAGTCCATAGGAATTTCCTAATGGCCTTGAGACAGAGGAAGTGTTGGCCTTAGCTTTTCATAACAAACCACTGGCTTGTTTTTTGAAGCACGTGCCTTACTGCTCTCCCGGGCACATTGGGAATTTCTTACTTGCTGGAAGTTAAGCACACAAAAGTTCTGCTGAGCATGAGGAAATCCACAGCGCCTAACAAGTAGGCTGAGGAAATCAAAGGTGGACAGTGGACTCTTCATAATCTGTATACAGAAATTACCGAATGATTCTCATCCCTCAAAGGCAAATAAGCAAATCCTGAAGTAAGAAAGTATTTCCACTCTTGGTACCCAAGGAGACAAGTCTCACACAGGGCAAAGTGGAATGAATTGCAGAAACTGCCCTGAGCTCAAGGGATCTGGAAGAGGCTGAAAAGCAACTTTTGTGCCAAGTTTTTTCTTAAGCATTTTAAAGGATGCAGCTAGAACTAGTTACAAGATACTACTGTGCTAAATACTTCTTGCTCCCAGTGTTATCTATACAGATAGGAAACAGGTCTTGAGCAATAAATACAGCACTTCCAACCACCCTCATCCAGAAATAGCAATAAGGATATCTGTGTTTTATATAAGATCCTAATAGTCAAAATAACCCCCAAAGAAATGACAGGCAGCCACGTCCAAATCGGAACAGTTTGGGTTGGAAGAGGCCTTTAAGAGTTATATAGTCCTACACCAACATGGGCAGAAACAACTTCTGTCAGACCAAGTTGCTCCAAGCCCCGTCCAACCTGATCTTGAACACTTCTAGGGATGGGGCATCTACCACCTCTCTGAGCTACCTGAATGCTTGATCACTGATTAAAAATGTTCGTACAATTACTTTCTTAGGCACTTTCAGTCCACTTTGAGCAAGTTGCAATACCAGAGAGGTGAGAATTCTCCTCAGACCATCTGTCCGTTTGCAGCGATGAGCATCACCCACGGGAACATCTCCTTGGTCCTTGGGAGCCTCCTCCCGAGCGGCCCCTCCTCTCCCTCGCTAAGGACGCAAGGTGCCTTACACTGGGCGCTCCCACTGTGGCAGCAGGCTGGGGAAAGTTGTGCAAGAAGGAGAGTCCATGGTCGTGCTGGTTGCAGTTGGATAAAGCTGTTTCTCCTCAAAGCGAAATCCCTGCCCGCAGCGTCCTGTGGGCTTTGTTCTGGTTTACGCCCCAGGCCCGGTTCTAAAGCCACGTTCGGCCTTCTCAGCGCCAGCTGGGGACGCTGCAGGAGGTCTCGCCCTCGCAGTCGGATACACGACACTCCCATTTCAACACGGGTACACCCGCACCCGGTGTGTTCCCTCTCGGTGTCCGAGGGGGCGGACGGGACGTCCCCGCGGCGCGGTGCCCTCAGGGCTGGGCCCCCTCAGGGCAGGTCCCCTCAGGGCAGGTCCCCTCAGGGCGCGATGCACGCGCTCCCCTCAGCCGCGCCCCGCTCGCCGCCCCGTCCCGTGCTGCCCGCGCGGCGCTTCCTTCCGGGCGGCAGCACCGCCGCGGCGGGAGCCATGGAGCGCGGCGCGGCGGGGCCGCTGCCCCTCAGCCGCCTGGCCGGGCCGCTGCTCCGTAGGCTCAGCGAGCTGCTGGACCGCGCGGCGCCCGGCAAGGGCTGGCGGGAGCTGGCGCAGCGAGCGGGGAGCCGCGGCACGGTGCGGCTGAGGTGAGCGCGGGCGGCGGCGGGGCGCGGGCAGCGGCGGCGGGGCGCGGTCCAGCGGTGCGTGTTTATCTCTCTAATCCCGTAAAACACTGAAAGTCCGCTCGGTAAGTGAAGGTATCACCGCGTACTGAAGGTATCTCGCCCCCAGGTTTGCGTGGCACTGTGATTTAAGGAAGGAAACGTTGAGTGGAAATGCGTAACCTTGTATTCTCTTTCGGAAGCTGTCGTTATTTCTTTGTTTGTGTTGATTGAATCCGCTGTGATTGAACGTGCGGGATGACAACGACGCCAAAGTTGAAACGATAAAGTTTAGACACAGTTAACTACACTGCGCAGTCGGTGTGTTAGGCTGGGCTCCAGCAGTCACTTGTTTACAACAACTTTAAAATCAGTCTTCCTGTACTTTGAAGTTAAGAGTCTGACTCACTCGCTACGGCTTCTGAATTAGGCTCATGGAAATGAAAGGTGCTGTACTACTTTTTCTGCTGACACTTTAAAAGTGAAAATTAGAAGGTTTCTTAATACATTTGCTGAGATTTGTGAGGTATATGCATCTCTTTTACCATCTAGCTCACTAATACTAGTTTCTGTCTGTGGAGGTGTCACTGAATAACCTCTGAACTCCTGAAACTTGAAGGAAATGCTGCAAATATGTCCAAATCAACTAGGAATTTCCCATCTCTATTTTTGAAAGTCTTTTTAATTTATCTACAAGTGATTGTTTACCCAGGTTCTTTCTGAGGAAAAGGTATTGAGAAGGTCTGTGTCTTGTCTTTCTCGCATTATTCCATAGCCCGCTGGACTTGGAGCAGTGTTCCCTCCAGGTGCTGGAGCCGGAAGGCAGTCCCAGCTGGAGTCTCCTGAAGCTGCTGGGGGATCGGGGCTGCACTGTGCTGGAACTGGCAGAGTCCTTGCAGGCCCTGGAGCACACAGAGGCTCTCCGGTGCCTCAGCCATTCAGGTCAGTTCTGGGCTGTGCTTTCACTGCAGCCCTGGATTTTAGACTGGGAACACTCAAGGTAGCACTCTACAGTAACCAAAAGCATCTTTAATGCTTGAATTCTGGTAGCTGGGATCCAGATGATAACCAAGGTTATTGGCTGATCTGATTCTGAGGTTAAATGTGAGCCAAGCCTTCATGCAGTGTTATTGCAGACTTGGACTTGTCTGCCTGGGTGTGCTGGGTGTTGTCATTCTGTCTGCTGACTGGGGTTTGGTCTCCCTGTGCCTCTGGGAGATGCTTATGGACCTGAGATGGACAGACAGGTAGTGCTGCCAGCACTGGGGTCTGGAGGTGTCAGTAACTTATCCCAAGCGAAGGGGAATGGTCCAGTTGGGGTCCAGTATGTGCTGGATTGGGTCCATCTTACTAACTGGACAGATTAATTTAGGATAGAACTAGATTATTTTCTACTAACACATGGATTTGATCATCCTTGTGGATCCTTTGTAGCTCAGCATATTCTGTGATTCAGTGTGGCTGTTCACAAAGTCTGGGAAGTGGGGCAGCACAAGGAGATACACAACTAGGACCGTGTAGATCAAGTGCTACTTGCTGTAGTACAGAACCAGAGCCCTCTCTCTTAGGTCCTTCTTCTTCAGGATGGGGTGAAATTCAATCTCCTGGGAAATGAAAAATCTTCTCCTTGAATGGGAAGTGGAAATGAGTCCTGCAGGCTCCTTACCATGGTGATGGCTGTCCGGTTCTTTGGACAGTGTGTGAAAAGAAGCCATGGGCTGAGAAGCATTGTTAGGACAATCTTGGGCTTTTTCAAGTGTATTGTAGCAATGCTTTTCACTCTTCCATCAAGTGTTTCCCAGTGTGTCAGCTAAGGATATAACAATTGGATTGTAGGTAAGATTATGAATACTGAATTTGCATGGTTTCAGAGTCTGGTAACCATAGATGTCACTTTGCCATATTCAAAGGTAACACATGCTCTGCATTTTCCAAGTAAAATGGAAGAAGTATTTATGTGTCTTTGTAATCAATCACAAAATTAAGCTGGAAGGTTTTTCTTTTCCAACCATTAAATTCCATGGTATGTACAAGAAGTGACTGTGTAGTGCTGAATAAACCGCAGGAAAAGAAATGAAACTGTGAAGAAATTATGGATCAGATTTCTTAGAACTTGTTTGGAATGCTTCCGATGAGTGCAAAATGCTTATCTTCCAGTGGATTTTTCTGATCTGTGTTCTTAAGAGCTGTTTGCGATGCAAATTGGGAGAAAAAAAAAAAAAAAAAAAAAAAAAAAAGTGGAAGTTTTGGAAAGGGCAAACCTTAATTTTTCTGTCATTTAAATTGAAGTAGTATAATTGCTTTTTCTGTTGGTTAATGTTAGAGGATCGTGATGCTCAAAAACTACTTAACACAGTTTAACTGCAGAAAGCAGCAGAGGAAGTGCTAAAGAGGAACTGAGGTAGTGATCTCCAGTGCTAGGTCTAGAAGGAAGTGATTTTAGAGCAAGAAAGGCAGGGAATTTCAAAGTGCTGCAGCTTTTTTGGAGTAGCTGCCAGCGTGTTCCACTCTTTCAGAGAAATCCTGTGTGTGAAGGCAGAACTCACTGTCCTGCCAGGCAAGGCTATGCGATTTCCCAGTGCCATGTGCTTTCTGTTTCAGGCTGTTGTCTCCAAGGGTTCTGGTCTAGTTGTACCATCCAGAGCAAAGAATGCTTCAAATCATGATTTTTAAACTTTCTGTTCTCCTTCTGATGACCTTGGCTATACCAGTGGATTTGGTTTTGAGACCATCCTGTAACAAGATCTGGAATGGTTTAGGTTAAGAAAATAACTGCATCATATCGGAGTGGTGTCAGAGTTGCTCTCCTGGCAGTTAAGATTTGAAGCAGAAGATTTTACCTTGCAGAAAACCCCACCCTTGTGTTCTGCAGGAGTCAGAGGCATAAAGCTGAAACCAAAGATTCGGTTCATAAGAGTGCATAAGGAATAGCAGGAAAATGTGCTCTGTTGGACTTAAACTCTGACTGCTTTGATTCCCTCAGGCTGGGCCTTAATCTGAACAGCTCAAAGAAACTGTTGGGAGTGAGCAAACATTTGAAACTGAGAATATCCTTCCAAAAAGGGATCCGTGATACCATGAGACATATTATTTCTTTTAAAATTAAAATACCTGAATTATACACTTTAAATCTTTTATGAGCTCCATTGAGTACTGATCGATTTGAGCATGGATTTTGTGTAGTGGAAGACAATTTTGAATGTTCTAAAGTAATACAACTAATTGGAACTGTGTGTATACACAGTACAAACAAATTATTTTCAAGTATATTTAATGACAGAAATGTTCTGTGCTCCAAGGGCAATTTAAATGCAAATATAAATGATGGACTTGTATTTCTTCATAACTTTCCTATGTGTAAATTCTGTCTTAAAGGTGTAAAGATCATTGTACAGCCAGACTCTCAAGCAGTGCTCTCTGGTCAGGTCGTCAAGATGTGCTGCTGGGCAACAGGACACCCATTTGTGCAATATCAGTGGTTCAAGCAGGAAAGAGAGGTAAGAGTTCATAGAGAATGCAGGGTTTTTAAACAGTTAAAATAACACGATGATTTTGGATCGTCCTTTTTTTAAGACTCTTATTCACAATGAGAGAAGATTGCTGTGTATACTCATAAAACTCATAAAGTTTAAGAAATGCTGGATGATCCTGCGAACGTGCTAAAACAAAACTGTGATTCCTTGTGTTCACCCCACTTCATTGCTGGGGGCTGTGAATGTGGAATGGGGCAGAAAGGAAGCTGTAAGTTCAGCTGTGTCAGCCTACCAGTAAGTTTTGAATAAGTGAAGGAGTTGAGGATGGTGTTAAGGACTTGGGATTAAATACTATCATGCTTGATCCTGGTTAAGATTAAACCAATTGAAACTGAAGTATTTTTGGTTCACCTGTGATGCAGGTTCCCCACGGTAATTCTCCAGAACTGGTTCTGAGTCCAGTGAGTGTAAAGGATTCTGGCTTTTACATCTGCCGAGTGAACAGTGAATCTTCTTTCACGTTCAGTCGGTGGGCACGCCTTGAAGTTTGTGAGCTTCAGGATCCACCTCATGGTGAGTGGCAAAAACACCTTCTGAAAGTGCCTTCCTGCTTCCTCAAGGTGCTTGGGTCCCTGTTGCTGTGCTTAGGTTGTCTCACACTTCCTTTTCTTGTTACTTCCTTTTCCTTTTATAAGGGCTCTTAATGGGTTTGCCTGAAAACAAGTTGTGCATTTGTAATCAGCCTCAGCCACAAAACCTGACAGTGGGGGATGCTTTAGTACTGGAATGTGGAGCTGTTGGAAACCCAATTCCTCATTACCAATGGTTCAGAAATGGATTTCCTTTGGCAAATGGGAGCAAAAGTGTCTACACGGTAAGTTACTGCAATGGCCACACTTGGGAGCTAATGTTGACCACCTTGAGCTTACCACAGAAGGTTCCCTTGAAGAAAATAATTTCTCCAGAACCTTGGTAACTTCTTATGAAGTGCTCACTTGAAGTGCTGCTTTTAGTTTTTTTACTCCTTCTTGCCTGTGGGGCTTAGATGCAAGGCTTAAATACCTGATGCAGGTATTTTTGGAGGTCTGTTGGGATGATTGTGATGATGCTTGCGCAGGTGCAAGGCTTACCTGATGCAGGTATTTTTTGGAGGTCTGTTGGGATGATTGTGATGATGCTTGCGCAGGTAACTTATGTGGATGTGGGACATCAAGGAACATACTGGTGTCATGTATTCAATGACCAGGAGGACGAAGACAGCAAGAAAGTAGAAGTCATTATAGGTAAGGAGTTCTTCTATTTCATACAGGTCAGCTCCTTTGTCCATTTCTTCCACATCACTAAAATTTATTTTTGAAGCCTTCAGTATTAAGACAAGCACATGCCTTCTATATTTCTAGTTTATCCATTTGTTAAAACACTCGCGCTTGCATCCAGCAAATGGCATTTTAGAGTTTTGGGTTTTTGTGGTAACCAGCACAGAATTGCTGACTCTTTTTGGCCCTGCCAGCATGTATGTGGCTTGTTAGCAGATTGCTAGCTGATTTATGATTTTTGACAACTAAAAACCGCTTTAACCCTTGCTGGGGACATGAACTCTGTTACATGGAGTCCTTCAGCAATAAGGAGAGGTGAGATTGTTAATTTCAAGTAGAATGAATGAATACATTTCAGTGCATGTGTATTTGTAGTGAACTGAAGAGGAGCAGATCTGTTTGCATAGCTTCCAGATTTATCTGGCAATACTACTGTGTAACTTCCTAACCTAAGAAATACCCTGGTTTAGTACTCCTGAGTTTCAGGAATCATTGCTGTACAGTGTTATGGCCAATGCAAATTTACACTGCTGCAAAGTGAGCCACATTGCAGAGCAGCTTGACAGTGCCCTTTGTCTTCCACCTTGTGTGCTAACTCTCATAACTGAGAGCTCATCTTCCAATTTTTTCTCCTCCTTAAAACACAAGGAAGGAAAGCTATGGCAGTGGAGTGCACAGAAGGTAATGTAAACCTCTAACTGTGAATCAGTTTTAAAAATCGGTGATGGGACTGACAGGTTGTTGAGTGTGTTGCTGAAAGGCATGTGTGGATTAAGAGCTTGGGTTTAACACACTGATGAATGATGCGACAGTCCTTCTACACGTGCTTCTCTCTTCATTGCCTGGACACCATGATCTAGATCACACAGGAGAAAAAACAGGCTACTTCCTTCTTTTGTGGTATTCAAGTGATCTGGAGATTTCTTTGGTGGGGCTCAGGAGGCAACATCCTAGCAAGAAAATCTGGAGATATTCGGGTACCTGGGTGATCGAGCTAGTTCCAGTATCAGCTCCACGTGTGCAGAAGTGTTTCCAGCAACTTCCTTAGGATGATTTCTGTTCTCCTTTGCACTGTTGCAATAGGGAGGAGGAAGTGTATTGTGACCCTTAGTGTTGGTGCCATCCCTCCCTCGACTGCCGAGCATCTCGCAGGCTGCAGTGTCCGCAGCACGGGGGATTGTGTACAGTGGTGCTCCGAGACAGCACTGCTGCTCCAGAGATGTTTGTTTTCTTTTCCCTGCTTTCCAGTGTTCTCACAATAAAGAGGTGAATCCCCTGGTAGCTTAGGATGTTTGGAGATTGTGTCTGAAGTCTTTCTGAATACACACGGCTTCCCAAAATCAGATTTTTTGCTCAGGATGTTGCTTTTTCAGCAGCCCTTCAAGCATCTGTTCTTCAGTGGGATGATTTTGATACCTTGTTCCTTTTTCCTTCAACCTACTTGCATGCCTGTGGGATTGAGGTGTCCTAACTTCCCCCCTCTTTGTTTTTACATTTACTGTACTGCAATGCTGTGTCTAGCACAGCTTAATGTATTGCTATAGGATTTTCTCTTCTCTGTCTGGAATAAGCACAAAAGGTTTGATTTGCACAAATGCAAAGTCAAAAGTATTTTAGAAAGGTAGTTTGTTTTCTGTGTTCAGCTTTGTTTAATAATGGCATGACACGTTTTTACTAATAAAATGGGATTTCTCCTTCTTGTTTAAACTATTATTTTATCGGTGTTTTTCTTCACAGAAGATTTAAGTGATCTTCAGGAATCAGGTAAATGATAAATTTTGAAGAACTTTAACTTGGCATCTTTATTTTATGTTACAAATCACTGAAAGCTCGCTGGGTTGCAGTATGAACTTTACAGTATTTGGATGTACCTGTAACTGAGAATTGAATAGGATCTGGTATCACCTTAAGAGCAGCACAGCTTTCTAGTTCCAAGAGATTTAACTTGAAGTACATAGAGAATCATAGGGGTGCTGTTTGTAAAATAACCCAAGGCTGCACATATACTTACATAGATACAAAGGGAATTATCTTTCTTGTCTGGGGTTTCTTGGGACTCTCAGTTTTAGCACATTGCTACTTTCTCAGATAATTATGGTGAAAAAGATGTGAGGTGTCTGGCTATCATTCATGACATGTTGAGTGGCATATTTCTTCCAGTCACGTTGGAGTCAGCCAATGTGATTTGAAGCCTGTTATGTGGTTATTGTAGAAGTGTTGCTCCAGAGGGGATTATCCCTGATACAGTTTTTCTAAAACCTCAACTCCCAAAGATAATTTCCTGGGTTAGATATCAAATATGTTTATGTTTTTGGCCAGCCTCAGTTTCAACCACTGAAGGGCTTCTGTGTCATACCGTGTCATTTTATCTAGGTGAGCCACTTTGGCACTCTGCTTGCTGTTTCTCTTGGCACAGCATTGGCTTTGCCACCCCTCTGTGAAGTGCAGAATAAAATAATTTTCACATTCAGATGCGAATCCCTGCTAAGCATCCCCCACCTTGCATGTCTGCATTTTGTTTGGAGACGATGAACTGGTCAGATGTCAGTGAAACTGCCAATGTGCAGTTTGTGAGATTCAGCATCTATTCTTCCTTAATCTATAGAATTAGCTATTCACATCCTGTCAGGTTGTTTGCTGGAAGAGGGTGAAGGAAATGATCTAAACAAAAATAACAATATCAACAAAACATCCCCAAACCCTACCAAAACAAAAAGAGGACTTTTCTTGCATTAAACTGGCAAAGTTTTAGAGAAAGCAGTGCTACTAGACTGTGGCTGTGGGGAAGATGCAGTTAATTTCCTGTAGTCACTGACACTCTGCTCTTTTCTTCTATTTCAAACAGATCCACAAGAAGAATCAAGTCACAGACCTGTGGGTAAGTAGTTTTGGACTGAAATGACTGTATGTATTTGACATCTAGGATGCAGATTTTGCTGCTCCTGAGTATTGCTGCTACTGACACTGCCAGTGCAAGACCCTTGGGGCAAATAGGGAGCTCCAGGGAGGGAGATCTGTGCATATTTGTGTAGTCCTTTTAGTATGCTTGTTTGCCCGTTCAGGAGTAAACTGTGCTGAGGGTACCAGTGTTTTTAGTGACCCGTGAAGCGTTTGCAGCTTCTCATCTGTTTCAGTTTACTGCTTCAGATTCCTGTGGCCAGGCCTTAGCCAGGGTGTTACTCCATTCCTTTGAACACTTGGAGCCAGTGGTACTGGGATGATGTGATAGAAACGATTGCTATCCTGTCTGCTAAGGAAATGCTGTCCTTGCACTCTGCCTGTTCCATCATGTGGATGCTTTGATGCTGAGCTGAAGCTCAGAAAGAGATGAATAGCACATGTGATATGAAGAATAGTTGCTGGGTTTTTAAACCACTTTCTTAAATTTGCACTGTAGACTCGAGTGGTCAGGCATGTTGTCCTGTTGATACTTAACCAGATGGAAAGGCTGCTGGCCTCTGTCAGAATTTTATGGCTCTTTCAGGTTCATTAGTGTGAAGGGAAGTGGAAGTGTTCCCCTTTCATGCAGGTGAGGCTTTTTTCTTCAGGCTGAAAAGAGTTGAGCTGTGTTGATGTGGGATGACTTGTAAAATCAGACAAAATATTGTGCCTGAAGTAAGATTTCACTTTGGAAAAGTTTAAATTTAAAGGTGTTAAATCCATGGAATATATAAATGTGACTTTTTTTTTTTTTTTCTCTGTGTGTCTTGGCAGCCACAGACAAGGTGGCTCTGTTAATAGGAAACATGAGCTACTGGAATCATCCCCAGCTCAAGGCTCCAATGGTAGATGTCTATGAATTGACCAGTTTGCTAAGGCAGCTGGATTTCAAAGTTGTATCTTTGCTGGATCTTACTGAGTCTGAGATGCGAAATGCAGTGGATGAATTTTTACTTCTCCTGGACGAAGGAGTTTATGGTAAGGATACAGAAATCCCTTCTGAAGTAGGTCCATTTTGTATGTATCAAGTAGCAAACATCTGGTATTTGCCTCAGCTAAACAACCTTCAGTGTAAATATGATGTATGTAGAATGGGAAGAAAAAGTTAAAGGCAACCACCAGCATATCCTCTGGCTTTGGTTAAAATGTTATTGTTCCTTTACTTTTAGAACAGATCAGATGTTTGAACTTCATTCTTTAACCACACCTAAAACTGCTGTGCAGGCTTTCATTTTGTTTGATAGTATTGATAGTACTTTGCTTGCCTAGATTTGATTTTGGGGCACAAAGCACAAGACAGAAGTGGGGGAGAGCATGATGGAATTTATGCATGGAGCAAAAGCCTTGCATGGAAAAGGCCAAGAGTGATCTGGTTTAGAGTGTAAGAAAAGTTCTTACATTTTCTGCTGACTGCCATTATTTTGTCATTTTTCTAAGATTGTATTTGCTGAGATTGTATAGAAAACTCCAGAAATTATTTAGGACAGAGAGCAAAATGTTTTCCCAGGTCCCTATTTATTGGATTGCAGAATTCCTGTAGTAAAAATCCATTTGAGAAAACATTATTTGATCCCTTTTCGGAACACAAGGTCAGCTTATTTCTTAGCATGACTTTTTTTACGAATGTGTTACTTGATGCTCTCTCTGTACAGAACTGCCTGCTCTGACATTTGGGCATTTATATCTGAGCCAAAACCTGCCTGACACGAAGCCTCGGTCTGGCTTTTGAGAGCAGTTTGCTTTTATTATTCCCTGGGAAATAGATGGGCTTATCTATTTGGGTGAACTTTGAGATTTTTGCACCTTCTCAATTTTTCTCCCTAATTGTGGACATGAATGTAGCAAATAAAGTACTGCAAGGCTTTAATTAATTTCTCAGCAGCACCATATGACAGCTCTTACATGGCATATTTTTGCAGTTGTACTTTTCCAGCCACTTGGTACAAAAGGTAAGCAGAAGAGTTTTCGGTGGTGTTTGGCAACAACTACTTCTGTTTAAATGATTACTTTGTTCTTTCTGCATAGTGGCTATGAATGGCTTAAAGCCTATAAAAGATGCTGTCAGTGCACAAATAGGTAACGATTTATTGCCTTTTCTAGTGGGCATAGTTTCAAATAGGAGAGGCATAATGACTACTGCTGTTTAGTCCCTGCTACATATAAACCTGATGCTTACTAGGTTGTGTAATTCTGGCTTACTGCCAGGAAAGTGGCATTTCAGATGCTGGTCCTTAAGAGCAGGAGTAGTAAACAAAGTGATGACGATTGTCTCCTCTGCTGTCTTAGTCTGTGCTGTTCTAAATGTGGGCTGCAATTAACATTGTATTCCACACAGGGTAAAAGCACAGACCCATGTGTTTGAAAGGCTAAAAATATTTAGGCTGCTTTCTTCTTAAATGAGAGGGACTGAGAGAGGGAGGGAGGGAGGGAGACAGATATCAGTTAAATGCTGACGTCTCTGAGGAACTTGAGCCTACTTAAAATTGTTGTGTGCGAGTCTCTGTTGAGGCCCTCCAAATATGTTTACTCCACTTACCCCAGGTATGTGCAGATTTATTTCTGATCTTGAGCTCAACATATTAACTGTTGCAGGTACTTGGCACATAGCACAGTCATCTGCCAAGGATAGAAAAGGAATGTACTCAGTCAGTCCAATTACTTACAGAATATATGCTCAGATACATAGAATCTCAAATATAACCCTGATTTAGGTCCAGGTTCAAGCTCTGGAAATCACATTAAGACTTTCCTTTTAATCTAGGGCCTAACACAAGGTTATGCAGTTGCACTTCATACCATTTTTAGCTCTCTTGAAGCTCACCAGACTCAGGTAGCCCTCATATTTTCATTTCTTGTAGCTGTGTGTACTGAAAAGGTGAAAGCATCTAGCCCACCTCCACAAGCTACTATGTTAGGGTGAGGCTTATTTTGGGTTTTGTCTGAATCTGCCAGTGTTGTAGTGACTTAAAATTTTCAGCAAATTTTAGTAAGAATAACAACATAAGAATATGGTATCTCTAGCCAGCATAAATTGTCAGATTTCTGTTGACTTTTATTCAGCTGAGCACTATATTCTAATTTCAGATCTGACCCACAGACTGCTTTGACTAGATAAATAAAAATTCTTTTTAGAAGATGGAATTTGCATCATTAAGGAAAACCAGCACTGGGAATGGGCAATAGGAAAATTCAGTTAAATCATGCAAACCTCTGGTAACTGCATTTCATGGCAGTAGAGATTACTGATTCTAGGATCATCAAATATTCATGCAACTTTAAATGACTTTAACATTGGACATTTTTATTCATATAAGGAAAATCTAAGTCCTAGTTTGCAGTTCCCTTTCTCAGAGTTGAGAACAACTTTCTTATTTTATTGAAGATTCTAAATCTTAAAATGTTGTAGACTGTTGTGCAGTGACACATGAAGGACATGATGGCAGGATAATAATTTCTGGCTAGGTAAGCCTGAGAACAGTTTGTTTAGTAGACCCAGAAGAGTCATGAGTGTGTAACTAGGAGATATAGCTGCAATCAACTGAACATGAGCTGTTGGTAGATGGTAACGGGGATGTGCTCTGGAGTCCTGCCAAACTCTTCAGCATTATTTTTTTTTTCTGTCTATAAGCTGCAGACTTAGTGCTGCTCAGAGCTTTGTAATTGCACATGTGGAGAAGATGTTTTACGGTTGGCACATTTCCTTGTTCCTCTCTGTGAGTTACACATCACACATAACAGGCTGTCTCTGTTACAGGTTAGAGCATTTTAAGAGTATTTAACTCGGTGTGTGTATGCAAATACCTAACTGATTCTATTGCATGTGTGATTTCTGTGCTTCTTTTAATTTATTGTGTTGGTGTATTGTGGAGTTGATGTTATTGTGGCTTGAAGTGGCTTCAGTGAACTCCCTGGCCCACAGTCAGCGCTGTGCATGACGGTTTTGACCCTCTGAAATGGACAGAAGTCTCTGATGCACTGCTCACTATCACACTGTTTTGAACTCAGGATTGTTATACTATGCTGGCCACGGCTACGAAAACTACGGGAACAGTTTCATGGTTCCTGTTGATGCCCCGAATCCCTACCGCTCAGCAAACTGCCTGTGCGTGCAGAGCATCCTGCGGCTGATGCAGGAGAAGCAGACGGGACTCAACGTGTTCCTGCTGGATATGTGTCGCAAAAGGTATCTCCTGGGGTGCAGCTCTTTGGGGTCTGAACAGAAAGATGGGCCTCCTGCCAATGAGAAGTCTTCAGGCTGAAAATTCACTGTACTGCAAAGTTCATGGTTCTGAGAATTCACAGCCTGCACCTGAGTGCTTTTAGCATCAGTAGGATTCACCCACAGACTTCTGCCCATGGCCTTGGATAGAGTTGTGAACCTGGTGGTTGGACTTTGTTCCCATGGGTACATTCCTACCTCCTGATTTCAATGACATTTATTTCTTTTTTGCTGTTGTTTTTTAGAAGTTATAAACAGACTGATTGGATTAAAGTTAAATTTGGCATCTTAAAGAAGAAACAGGACCCTTTCCCCTGAGATCATTATCCATCCTCTTCATTACAGGGAGGAAGGAGAAGCCCTGTGATCAAAGGCATGTTAACTTAGCAGAAGGGCTCAAGTGAAGTGCTTATTTTGGAATTCCTGAGAGCCATGGACTTTGCTTCTATACTGAGGATCTTGTATCTTTATTTAGAGGTTAAAAACCAACTGATTTATGAGATTTTTCTACACAAAGTACTGTGTTCTTTCCATGTTGAGAAACTACTGTGATCAATTAAACTTTCACTTGAAATCAGCTCTTCAGTCAGCACTTCTGGCAATTGGTCTCAGAGGAATGTTTCATAACAGAAAGTTGCTGGCACTTTAGTATCTGTGCAGCCTCCAAACTTCTCTGCCAATGAAATGCCCATGACCCAATCAGCTTCACAATCTGCTGTCCAAATACAAAATCCATTGTACTAACAGCACCATGTTTGGTGGGGAAAAGAAAAATTTAAAAAAAAACATGCCATTTTTTAAGTAACCTAAAATGGGCAGATATCAGAATTGTGTTTTTCAGAGAATGCAGCCAAACTCTGCTGGTTACTACAGCATGCCCTTCTCTGGGTAATGCCTGGTGCCTCTGTCTTTACACTGCCCTCAGGCAGAGTGTTGATGGGGCTGACTTTTGTATATGAGCAGTCAGGATTCATTATAGACTTGGAGGAGTGAAACAGATCACTGGTTCTGAACTCTCTCTGTTTTGTGTTTTGATTTTGTTGCCATTATGAGTTCTCAAATTACTGTTTTACTTTCTCGTGCTTCCCTTTGTTACAGAAATGAATATGATGACACTATTCTTATCTTGGATGCTCTGAAGGTTACGGCAAACATTGTTTTTGGATATGCAACGTAAGGAAGTTATTCTTCTGTGCCACAGAAATAACTGATACTGTATAGCTGATCTTTTTCAGAACTGTGCTGTGGGCCAGTAACCTTGGTCACTTTTCAAGTGCAAAAAACTGCTGAACAGAAGTAGTAAGGAGCTTTACTAAAGTCATCAGTAATAAATTTAAGCTCCTCATGTGAGCAGTTTGATGAACAGGTCTAGTCTGTGATGTCATTTTAAGAGAAACTTCCATCAGCTGCTTGCAAGGGGACATGAAGAGCAGGTTGGCCTTGGACACAACCTGGTTTTCAAATTGTAGGGTTTGTTTCCCCATTCCCAGTATAAATTTACTCTTAATCCTGCAGGTTTTTCAGTGTTTTTTCCGTGTCCAATGCTGATGATCTCACAGGTGCCAAGGAGCAGAAGCTTATGAAATTCAGCAGCTGGGGTTGGCCAATGGAATCTTCATGAAGTTCCTGAAGGACCGTTTGTTAGAAGACAAGAAGGTCACTGTTCTGCTTGATGAGGTTGCAGAAGGTGAACTCCAGCTTACTGCACTAACAGTCTCCTCAGTCTGCCGTACTGAAAACAACTTTGCTTCCGTGTCTTTCCTCTCATTGTGAATGTGTTACACTGATTAAATCTCTTTCTTGTTGTGTTTTGTTCAAATAGCAGGTGCTGCTAGACAGCATATTAACAACATTACTGATGCTCAGCTTGTTTAATGGTTTTCAGTTTTATACTTTCCTCTTCAGTGAACCTTATTTGTTCTAAGTATCTTTCTGCATGGAGCTTTGAATTGTCCATCCACAAAACAGCTCTTCTGTCCTGTGGTGCCAGCTGCTTGTGGTAGTCCAGTCGTTTGCATATTCATTTAAACAATTAACATTATCCTACTTGCCTCAGAGTGCTATAGCAATAATGATTTGTTCTCTAAGTGCAGTAAAAAGGGCAATGCAGTGTGTTAATTTGCCTGGTTCGGTGATTGTATTTTTGATGTTTTTAATGGGAGAAACACTAAAGTAAAAAGTGTGGAGGGAAAGCTTACTGCTTCTGTGCAAACACCTGCTCCAAGCGCAGAACAGTGTCAGACTGGTGTGTGGAGGTGCATCAGCCCAGCTCTGCCCTGGGTTCAGCAGCCTGGGGCAGCTGCAGGTCACAGAGCTTTGTGTTCTGTTCAAGAGCGCAGGGAAAGATTGACTTGTCAGGCAGCATGACAAGCACTGCTGTGAGTGTTCCCAGGTGTTGGGTGTCAGGGAGTACACAGGTTTGTGCAGACAGTGCTAGAGGAATGTTCCCATTAAGTGTTCCATGGAAACAGCCCCCATGGAAAAGGCTGCAGCCTGCTGGGTCCGTGGCTCTTGCTGTGCCTGTGCCACAAGAGTGCAGTGCTGGCTCATGGTCAGCTTGGTGGCCACTAGGTCCCCAAGCAAGTCCTTCCTTGCACAGGTTCTTCCCTGCAGATTTGCGTCCCAGAGAGTCAGGGCCCTTTGTGGGCCTCTGCAAGGGATTATTCCTGCTTGGGAGCAGAACTTGGTGTTCCCTGTTACTGGACTTCATGACATTCCTCTCTGCTCAATTCCACAGCCTGTCCAGGACACTCTAAAGAGCAGTACAGTCTTGTGGGGTATCAGCCACTCCTCTCCGTTTTTAATCATCTGCAAACTTTCCAAGTTTTATTCTCTGTCCTGACATGTGGGTCATTAGTGATGCTGTTAAATAATCAATATTGGGCCCTTGTATCTAAACCTAAAATACACTCCCCTTACCCCCAGTTCTTTAGAATAATCTCCTCCAATGGAATTACTCACATTCTTGAACTTAGCCCCTGTAATTAGGACCTTACCCAGTCAGAGCTGTGATGCTGCTTGGATGGCTCTGAGGAGCAGGGGACGATGTCGGCCAGGCTGCATGCGACACCTCGGGGCTCTGCAGAACTGCTTCAGCCTTCAGGGAAGGAGTAGCTGAGCAAGGAGTACCTGTAAAACAGCAGCTCCTGATGGGTGTGCTGGCTCTGGCATAACCACAGTCACCACACATTGCAGGAAGGTACTTAATTCAGTTGGAATTGCAGCAGCATTGATTTTGAAAGAACCTCTCTGCATCTTGTTTTTAGATATGGGCAAGTGTCCCCTTACCAAAGGCAAGCAAGCCCTGGAGATCCGCAGCAGCTTGTCAGAGAAAAGGGCATTAACTGATCCTGTTCAACAAAGCACATCTTCTGCAGAGTCCCTGGCACGGAACCTGCAGTGGGCCAAAGCTCATGGTACTGTACAGTCTGCCTTCAGATCCTGATGGGAGAAGGAAGGGCTTGTACTACTGAATGGAAATGGAAGAAATTCAAGGCTATAGCTACATTTTCATTACTGTGTTCAGTTGGAAGTTTTTGAGTTGGAGTTTACCCCTGCATGAGATAGTAATGAACAAGGTGACATGTAGAATTCGTGTATGTTCAGTATATTTAAGACCACTCAGACACTGGAGGGGGAGACTTAGGGGTTGTCTGTCTTCTGGGACAGTCTCCCAGTACTGCTTGTCTAGCAGTGACATTTGTAAGATGTCATTGATCTAGTTCCAACATCATCACCTAAAATGCCAGGTGAAAAGCCAGGTGAACTGTATGGTAAATGTGCATGATGAAAAGAAGTTTTCAATGCAGACAACCAAGAAAAATAAAATAAGACTGAGATGAGTTCCAGGCTTCCTAGCCTTTTAAGAAGGCCAGTGGGGTTTAAGACCTGTTTTTACCTTTTTCACCTAAACCTGTTGGAGTACATCTTCAAATTTCTTTGACAGTTGGGGCAGAGGGTCAGGAAAGGCATTTCTAAGAGCACTCGTCATATAGGAAGACTCTCTCAGAGATGCAGAAGTTTAGTTGTGATCCCAAGCACTAAATTATTGTTTGTTAAAGGATTGAAAAAGAAAAATGCATATGCTAAATTTATATTTAGACTGTAACAATGTGTTATTTCTTGGCAGAGCTTCCAGAAAGTATGTCCCTTGAATTCCAGTGTGGTGTTCAGATTCAGTTGGGGTTTGCAGCCGAGTTCTCCAATGTCATGATAATCTATACACAGATAGTTAAGAAGCCCCCTGAAATCACAGCTTGCAGAGCCCACATCACAGACTTCCCACTCGTAAGTGCTTCCTGCTGCTGTCTCATGATCTTGCTCCACTGAAGTTGAAAATTTTCTGCTCCACCCATATCAAGTTGCATCTTCTATAGTAAAATGGGTCTAAAATGCTGCAACTTCTCAAACTGAAAGAAATACTATTTTATGGTCTACAAATTCTATACAATCAATTAAGTTCTCTTTTTTTTTTTTTTCTTGCAATAGGACTTGGATGTAGATCCTAAAGAGGCCAATAAAGGAACTCCTGAGGAAACTGGAAGCTATTTAGTATCAAAGGACCTTCCCAAACACTGCCTCTACACCAGGCTGAGTTCACTGCAAAAACTAAGGGTTAGTATATACTGTTAGTTACGAGTTTGCCCAGATAATTGACACTGTTTATGTTGCTTTGCAGATCTGTTGAGGCAGCTGTGTATTGTTAGTGTTGTTAGTTCTTTGGAGGGAAAGAATGGATAATGGCACAGTTCAGGGACTTTAATTTCAGCTGAAAAGTAAAAGGCAGGGAATTGATGCATATGCAATCCTGAAACAGGTGTGCAAGGCCCTTTGTATTTTCCAGGCCCATACTGAACTTGGCCAAGATGGTTATTTTTGTGCAGATAACCTATTGCATGCTCTGAGGGTATTCCTATGCTTTTTAGGAGGAACATGACCTGAAGCAGAGCTGCCTCTTACAAAATCATTAGTGGGAGATGAAAGTGTTGTGTATCATCTGCCTGTGCTCCTGGCACACAGTTTTTGAAAGGTTCTCTTCAGCAGACTGGGGCACAGCTAAGTGTCTCTGTATCTTTGTGTCATGAACATCTATGCCAGACACAGCCTGGCATCTCTTCTTCAGTGCTTTTGGCAGTTGAGGTAACACAAGTGCTTCTGGAAACAAGGAGTGACCAAAAGAGGACCTCAGGAAACAAGGCCTGGCAATTGTGTGTCTCTAGCTCCTAAAAAGGTCACTCTGCTTCTCCAGGAGACTGGAGCCTCCCTAAGTGTTTCCTGTTGTGTTTATTTGGGGAGGAAGTATAACTTTTCCTCTCCCCCTTTTTCTGCTTTTACAGGAACATTTAATCTTCACTGTTTGCTTGCACTATGAGTATTCAGGAATAGAAGATACAATGGATGAAAGAAAGGAGATTAATGTTGGGAAGCCCCTTATTGCTAAATTAGGGCTTCACCCTGGATTCAAAACCAAGAACTGTCTCCAGACATGTTGCATGCCTGGTTATCCTTTTCATAATCCAGTAGAATTGAGTCCAGAGGCAGCTGAATACTACATCCCTAGTCATTGCCAACCCAATTCCTCTCCAGGTGTTTACCATCCAAACTGTGCTTGCTCAAACAGCATCACACAAGCAGAGGCATGTTCCTGCAATGGAGCTTCCAGGATGTTGGCTTCAAGACACGAAGTACAGCATTACTCACCCACTGTGGAAAAGCATAATGTACCAGTAGAGACCACTGATGATACTGTTGAACTGGAATTCTTCCTCTCTGACAGCCTTAGCTTCTCTGAACAGCAATAGCTGGGATGTGTTTGGACTAGACCATCCTTGGACAGAGGGGCTTCCACACTGACTCTCCATCTTCTGGAGTCTGGAGACTTCCAGACAAGGCCCTGCAGGGTCTAGAGTAGGTGCTGGGAATGAGGTTGTGATGAAAATTTTTCATATCTTAAGAGACAAAACTGGACCAATAGATTTAGGAATGAAAAATGCATTCTTTCTATTTTTTTTTTTTTTCACCTACTATTTGTTGTTTGGTACAGAGAAAAATCTGAACTGCTCAAAGTTTTCTATTCTTTGGCCATCGTGTGTTAGGATTGGTCACTGATGTTCCAGTGCCTTGGATGTAGCCAAAAAGCAGCTCTGACTGCATTCTCCTCTCTGATTGCCAGATATCCAGCATCTGGCAGTGTCTGAGAGGGATAAGAACTGTGCAAGGAACCCAAAACCTGGAGAGCCAGCAAATTGACATCACTTTTGTTTTTAAGAGAACTACAGATTATCAGAGGGAGCAAAGTCACGGAATCATACTGTGGTGGATTGTTTCTATTTTGATTTTTTTTTTTCTTTTCCATAACACTTAAGATTTTTGCTGATCTGATACCTGATTTTTCATATTCTGGAAGAACACTAACTGGAAAGATGAGGGCAAGTACCTGCTCAGCAAGCAAGGTATTGTATGGTCAGTCTCACAGACATGCTGAGGGCTAAAACAAGAATTACAAGAAGAGTGATGTTTTATTAGGTCATTGAAAGTCTTGATGCTTTGAAAATGCAAAAAATATTGGGGTGTAAGGAAACTAAAATCAAAGGGAGTTTTCAGACAGGGGTAGTAGCCTCTCCTGTACTGGTAATGTTGAGAGGAAGAATTGCTTTAATTAAGATCCTCATAATGAAAACAAGATAAGTGAATGTTATTGAAGCAGACAAGCCTGTTTCAATCTCCAGTGGAGAGTGCTGCGATCTGGTGCCCTGGCAATGTCTTGGTGTGGCCATAAAACTTTTGAGATTGGAATGTTAATGCTTCTTTAACTAAATCTGGTGATCTTCAGGATGCTCTGTGCTGAAAGGTGGATATAGGTACATGGATATAGCTGTTTCCAGATGACAGCCATGCTTGAAGTAACCTGTACATGAGCTTGAATTTCTGTTTTCCTTCTGCAGGGTGTTAAATAGCATCATACCTATTAATGAATGAGATGGACCTGCATTAACTATTCTGTGCAGTTGACTTCTAAATCAGATTATAGTTTGAGACGATGGTCTAGGAGTGTACTACTTAGCTAATACTTTGTCAGTTTCCTAATATGTATAAAAGCTTATTCTTTTTTCTTACCCTGTAATAAATTGTTTGTCCACAAAATCATGTACTATGTGCATATGTAGTTGCTACATTCTTCTATGCCTTCCAGCCTTAAAAAGCCCAAAACTTTATTGAAACAAAACATGTAAGGAAAGAATTTCCTTAACAGAAAAGAAGGGAAATCTGAATTACGAGCTTCAGCTCAAGATACACAGGTCTGGGCCTGGGCTGATAGCCTTGCCCCTCGAAGCTAAACCCCTGCCTCTTGAGAGGTGCAAAGGCATTCGATCTTTAACAGGTATCCTTGGAAATATTTGTATATGCATGCATGTACTTCTGTGTGTGTGAATTGATTTAAATCCTCTATGGGAAGTATAGTATAGATATTGCCATCTTAGATCTGGAATTGAATTCCTGCTGCACTCATAGGAATTAAATACTTTCACAGATGTTAAACAGTCAGCAGTTAGGTGGTGCCAGATTCTTCAGGCGTAAACCCCTGCCCAGGTCTGAACCCTGTGACTCAGCAGCAGCCTCTGGCATTCATGGTGCCTGTGTAAATCATTCTGCATTGATTCTAGACAGATTTCCCTCTGTGTGCATAATCCATGGAGCAGTTACCAGAGTGAACGCTGCCATTCAACCTCATCACCCTTTTGCACATTTACATTAAACCTGATTTTGCTAATACCTTTAACAGAGGTTCTCTGAGTGACCTAAATCACTCAGACTTGTCCAAATTGTATGACAAAAGTCTACCTGTGGCAGTAGAGTGTCTGGAGGAAAACTTTTATCTGTCTGAACCCTCTTTAAAAAGAGATTGGTGATGAAAAGGCATTTCCTCACTGCAGCACTGTCTTTAGGAAGTGCTCTAACTGTTTTAATCGTTAGTGTTCAGAATGAAATACTCTGCTTCTTCAGAGCAAGCAGCAAGCAGCACCCATTTCCTTTGGCCCAGGTCCAGGAAAGCACTTTAAAAGTTCAACAGGCATAAATTAACATTTCAATCTCAGTGAAATTGGTGGGATTAAAAAACATGCCTAAACCTAGGCAGTTGTTACTGCTCTCTTTGACTTGTGGTACGCTTTTTAAATCAAAGCCTCGGGGTTTTGGGGTTTTTTTCTACAGTACAGTTATTTGGAGATAATTATTTTTTGCTGAAGTATCTGGTAGGCTAAATTACTTTGACCTCTGCTGTAGCATTGCTGTATTGTTTTGTATAACTTAAGTGTTTGTTACCTGGGTTTGGATGTTGAATATGTTTAGAAAAAAAAGGTTTAAGGTAATCTAAATAAACTCAGGCTTCTCTGGCAAAAGAAGGGTTCATGTGCTTCAGAAAGGCCAAGACAGTTCTTCCATTGTCCCTCACCACACTGCAGTAAGGTGGGAGTGCATTTACCTTCTGTACCTCCACAGAACTGTGCAGGCTGACTCCTCTCGTTATCCTGAGAGTCCTGAAGCTGCCTCTGGCTCCAGAAGACCATCTGCACCATGGAACTCTTCAGTAGATTTCAGGGCTGGTGTTGCTGTCTCTGTAGTTGCTGCCTTGGTTCATGCATCAACTACTTTTCCTCATTCTGTCAGCTAATTAGTAACTTTGGCAGCTTTCACATGCAGTAAGCTCCTGGGCTGTGTTCACCTTGACATAGATTCCTCACTGCTGTAATGTGGATACGTTTTAGTATTACTTATTCCTTGCACAGGATTTTAGTTCAGGGTACAGTAAGATCTGCTCACATTTTAGAGTGCAGCATTCTGAGCTCCAAGGTTTTTTCTGGGAATTGGAGATAGGTTTAAAGTATCAGATGGAGGAGAACAGGTTGGGAATTTGGTTTGCTGGGTTTTTTTAAAAGACTGATCATTTAGTAATTGCAGTAGTCTAGGAACGGAGTGAGGACACCTCCATGTTGTGGCATTTAAGCAGTTAGTAATTTCTAAGGTATCGCTGCGGCAATTTAGTCATACCAGGCTTATTTTAAGAGCTAATGAGAAGAAATGCTGTCTCCCATCCTTGTTGCTGGCATGCAGTGAGCAGGAGCCCCGGATCCCTGTGAGGGCGTGTTACCACAGCGACCAGCCTCCGCCTCTGCAGCGGATGTGGGAGGGAGCGACCAGGCCTTCCCATCTGCCCTTCAGACAGAATCTGCTGGCACCCTGCTTTCAGCTTTCAAAGTCACTTGCAATTAGGATGAAAAGTCTTCAACCTGTTAAGCAAATTACTTCACTGCACATAAGATCAAGCAGCTCTCAGATGCTTCCTGGGCTCTCTGATGATTTAACATGGTGGTTATGATTTATTTCATCTCTCTAAAGATGCGCCAGCTCTGCTTCCCGACATCCTGTAAGAAGAGGGATGTTGACTGTGCATGGCACACAGACTCACTGAATATGCTGAGTTGGAAGGGACCCAGAAAAATCATAGAGTCCAACTCCTTGCTGTGTACAAGGCCACTCCCAAGAGTCACACCCTGTGCCTGAGAGCAGTGTCCAAATGCTCCTGGAGCTCTGGCAGCCTTGGGACTGTGATCACTCCCTGGGAAGCCGGGTCAGTGTCCTACCACCCTCTGGGGGAAGAACCTTTTTCTAATATCTAACCTAAACCTCCCCTGCCCCAGCTTCAGGCCATTCCTTTGGGTCCTGTCAACAGTCACCACAAAGAAGATATCAATGCCTACAGAGGTAAGCACCTTCTGTGGGTTACCATCAGGCAGCCTGTCAGAAACTGCTCCGATTATTCCCCTCTGAAAGGGCTGTTTGCCAGAACTGCAGGTGTTTAAAGCAGTCCCAGGAGTCTTTGTTCACATCCTGTCTTCTTTGTACCTGCCAGCTCTTTTCCTCTCTTTCCTCTTCTGCTGAATGCTAGCGGTATGCATGAGACCTGCCTTGCAGGACAGGGATTGATCCAAAAATTTTTAAGGACTGCTTTGAGATACTCATAACATACAAAATCCGATATTTTTTTGGTCTTAAGAAGCTACAGAGTTGCTATAAAATACTAGTTTGCTGATTCTCAAAGCTTTGTAGGCTTTGTTTCATCCCTGCCTTAGGGATATGCAGAAAATTGCTGCAGATTCTGGTTCAGTGTTGCAGCTGCAAGAAAACACAATTTTGAAACACCCTAGCTCTTATTTTAGTGTAAGTAGTGGGTTTATTTAATCAGAAAATAGCCATTTACCCATGCTGGCAGGTGGAGAACTGCAGCTGTTAGCATCTCACTGCATCCCAGCACATAAATCAGAGGTGGGACTCATTACCACTGCAGAGCCTCCCTGCTAGTTCCTCTCTTGCTGTCTGCACTAGGATAATCCAGGTTTTAACATGAGTACAACTTGCTTTCCTGTGGTGGGATACACAGGAGCAAGCCACTTGCCAGCTGGAGTGAGTTTTACTTGGAATGAGGTGTTTTACCCTCCACTCTGGTGTTGCCTTGCCATCAGCATCTTTTTTCCTTTTCTGATCTGATGAGAAGAGCCACGTGCCCAGCGGGCCCTTAGTATCTGCATGTGCTGGGACACCTTTACACCTCCCATCATCCTGTTCTAAAAAAATCCATGGGAACTTCTCATCTCTGCTGCTGTCAATCCAATTATCCCTTCTTTTCTTTATAAGCTGCGATAAACAAATACCTTTTTTTGTTGTTGTTTTATGGAGACTGTAAGTTTCCACAACTGGAAAAGCTCTGTCTGATGTCATGCAACAATTCTTAACAGAATACGATGGCAAAGAAGGATTAAACCCAGGTTTGTTACCTAAAGGTTCCCAAGATAAATAACTGCCCTTTCTCAAGTAATTTTGTTTACAGTTCTTTTCCTTTTAGACTAATTAGTTGCAGTATTTTTTTATTGCTATAGTCTTGATGCTAGACAATAGTTACAATACAGTTAACGTATAGTTAATAATAGGGCTGTCATGAGAATGGTATTAGTAATATTTTTTCTTATACGAGTTATCCTGAGTCACTGGTGACAGCAGCTTCTCAAGCTGGCAGATGGTGTCTCTGTAAGAAAACATGTTTTCTTGCCTTGCCCATCAGTTCATTCCCAGACTGAGCAAAGAGAACTCGGTGGTAGCAGCATCTGTTGATGGAATAGTTCCTGTTAAACTCCATCTGCCTGCCAGCTCTAGGATGTTCAAACTGTGGTGTATATATAAGGTACAAAAGGTATTATTAGAATTCTGATGTATCACAAACTAGAGTGGGTTTAGTTATGTAAGACGGACATTTTTGGACAGCTCTAAGAAGTAATAAAAAAATCTCATGGGTAGAGAGATGATGCTCAGCAGTTGCTTTTTCAGCCTGCATTATTATTTGCACCCATGCAGTGCAAGATGGAGATTTTTGACTGATCTGAAGCCAAGCCAGTTCTTGCAGGGTGGCTGCGTGGGAGCCTAACTTCTGAAGCAGAGGTGAAAGGACAAAAAGAAAAGATCCCTGGGGCTGAAAGGGAGGATGACGACCCCCCCACCCCAGAAAACATGAGCCTATAATTTGGCCAAAAAAGTGCAGGCAGCCCCCAGCACTGTCACTAGTGACAGCAGGAGGTGCCTTGCCAGTGGCTCCTGGTGGCCACTGCACTGCATGGGAAACCCACGCTCCAGCACCTCGTGTCCCACAGGGAGCAGTGCTCTGTCCTTGGGGGACCCTTCCAGGCAGGGGCTGGGAGCTGGAGCTGCTGCAGCTGCTCTTTCACATGAAACAAGTCAAGAGCCTGCCCACTTGTACTGCAGAGAGGAAAGCCATCTGAGACTGCTAATCTGGCTGATGGAACTAAGCATGGGCTGCTACTGAGCAGTGAAACCCTTGGGGCTGGGGCTGGATGCTGCTCTGGTGCCTCTCCCCTCCTCTGTACCCAAGAGATCATCCTGGTCTCCTCTGTCCCTTTCTGAATGGGAGAAAGTTGTCCCTAGTGCTGGCACATCCGAGGAGCAGAGTGGCATGCCATAGGGTGGTGCAGTATGCCAGCACAAGTGTTTTTCTAACTCAGGTGCACTCTAAAGTATTTTTGGTGGTGTAGGTTGTTGGGTATTTTTAACACTTCTGCGGAGTAGCAGAGCACTCA